AGAAAATGCTGCCAGAGTCAAAAGAAAGAAAAGATTGTACTCAGAGTTGTAAGGAAGGTTGCACCTCACCAGGCATAATTTAGTATTACCTACAGCTCTGATTAGATGGTTCCTTCCCTTTATTTAATGCTAACATCAAGGTTTGCAGAGGCCGGAATTGATGGATAAATGCCTTTGACAACGTTGGGCATGAGCGTTCTGTACTGTGTAAGAAAGAATTTAACAACTCTGAACAAAAGTCTTGGGTAAAGCCCCCCTCAAATCAAGCTTGACTCCTGGGGCCTTCATGATTTTTTTCTTCTTCTTCCATAACAATACAGAAGTGGTTTGACTTCTTCTGGGGTATTTTTCTGACTTTCCAACTAAGTCTACAGGCCCACAGATTTCCTGAAGGCTTCCCACCCAAGCACTGAGCAGGGGAAACGTTAACCTAACTTAACCTAACCTAACCCTGATTAACTTGTTGGGACTGGCAGCATACTAAAGCATTCATTAGTAAAATTGCTTTTCTGCACAGCTACAAGATTAAAAAAAAAAGATTTCTCTCCATGTTTTAGTACACATCCCTGAAAAACTTAGGTTCTCCCATAAGGTGACTGCTTTTAAATGCATATCGGGTGATTAATACCTAGAGACCAACATCTAATATTTAAATGATTTGTATTTTTAATTGCATCAAAGGAAAAACGCATTTTAAATGTACATTTTGACTCCTAACAAAAAGGTATTTGAAACATTTATGAAATTAGGAGTGCATGAAATCCTTCAAACTGTTTTGAATGTGAAATGGGCTGCTCTGAATATTTGTGGGATGTTTCTCCTTGAAACAGCCCCTCTTGCACGCAAAATGGCAATCTCATATTCAAGATGAAAGTTTCATGAATGTTGTGGTTGAAGCAGTTCTAAACAAAATGTTCTGCATAACCCCATTATGAAATATACAGCATTTCAGCATCATAGAAATTTAACAAATTCAGTATCAGCGTAACAGATAAGTCATCATTTCCACCACTAGATAATAGATTGTTATTTCTGCTGTTTTAAAAAAAGTAATTATTCAGTATGAAAATTTTGTATATGCTGACATTTTGGTTTAAAAACGGATTTTTATCTGCTGAATCAAAACAGTGGAACAAAATTCAATGCTCCTGAAAATTAGTTTTCTAAAATAAATTTACAGTTTGCTATCTTTGTCGATGCTCTTCTCAGGCCTTGAAAACAAACTTCCAGGTCTGCCTTTGTGGGACAACTATAGTACAAAATCTTAGAATATTAGTACATCAAGACATGATGACAACCCAAAGCCAGAAGACCATGGGAAAATGTAAGAGCAATTTCTCCAGGACAACATCGTGTTCCCTGCAGTATGGTCAGGAACAAGTTCTCCAGCTGTTCAATACTTAGCAGTGAGGAAATAAAGGACAAACTAAGCATATCAAAATCTTTTTTTTTTTTTTAAACCTAATCGATTTTGCTAAGGGGAGACACGATGAGAACATTGTTCTTGTTTCTTAATTGGAAAGAGAACTGAAACTGAGCGCAGTCTAGCATTGCTTGGAGTTCAGACACAAAGATTAGCTACACGCCTAGCACCCAAATCTGTATTACATCTGCAGTGGTGATACCAGGAAAAAGTGACCAAGATGGGAACCAACTTTAACTCCTGCGATCCAAGGATACGTGACACCTGGCAGACAAGCAGTGACCATAACTCCCAGGATCCACAGCCGTCGTGGTGAATGGCCTATTAGCCCCGGTATTCCTGGACCTGTGACGTCACCGCATTTGGAGGGACCCATTTATGTACAAGATGCCAAGGAACCACTTTCTCAACATGGAAAGGCAACTTTTGAAGCAGGTGTGCAGAAAATAGATTCTTAATATTATTCTTCACAGTTTCAGGGTTACCAAGCGTATTTCCTTTGGAGAAACAGCGAGAAGCCGTCCAAGAGATGATTCTGCTACAGAGCTTTCTCTCAAAGCACTAGGCTAACTGAAAATGTGATTTCACATAAAACAGTGTCTTCTAGTTTGGAAATAGAACTCCAGGAAACAGAAAATGATTGCCATAGTAGAGCGTACGAAAAGATTGTGCTCAGAGTTTTAAATAAGGCGCCATCTCGCTTGGCATCATTTAGTCCTACCTAGACGTTGAGGGAAAAAAAAAACTTTCACGCACACTATGGACATAAAAACTTCTGTTAAGTATAATTGCTATTTTCAACCGTACACTTTCAGCTGTATCTGCTGCTTTCACTGGGGCTTCGATAATTAGAATAACTGCGGTCGCTTTCACTGTCAGAGCCATAGGATCTAAAAAAAAGCCAAAATATGCATCAATATAGCACGCCAGGCACTCACTTCCCCTTTAAATGTAGACTTTTCTGCAATCCGAAGAGGAAAGCTAAGGAAATCATCACTCTGGGGCATCTTCTATCATTTGCCTCTTCAGAACCCCCTCCTCGATTTTGATTTGCTAGCTTAGTAGAACTCTAGGGGCTTCTCTGTCATGAAGCAGATTGTACAACTATCCCCCACTTTGGCTCTCAAATTTGCAGGATTTGTATCCTGGGCTATTCTTTTGGATTCTGCCTGTAAGCTGTAGAGAAACCCAGGAAGTGAACGGGAATCTAGAACAGTCCTTCTTAAACTGCGGTCCTAGGACCCCTGGGGTGCCCCAAGACCCTCTCAGGCAGAGTTCCTCAACCTTGGCAACTTTAAGATGCGTGCACTTCAACTCCCTTGCTGGCTGAGGAATTCTGGGAGTTGAAGTCCACCCATCCTAAAGTTGCCAGGGTTGAGGAACCCTGCTCTCAGGTCCACAAAATCCAAATTATTTTCCAGCTTGGGATGAAAAGTAATACAGTATTAAGATCCCACCAAACAATCGTGAGAAGTGGTCGTGGCAGCGAATGCTTACATGTTCATTTTTAATATGGTAAATATTGATAAATATAAGCCATACGAACAAAAGCTCTTTTGGGGCCCTCCATAATTTTTAAAAGTGGGAAGGGGTCCTGAGAGAAAAAAGTTTTAAGAGACACTGGCCTAGGCGTAGGGCTCTAGGCGTCCCCATTTTTGCAAAATGCTGGCAAACGTATGACGGGCACGAAAAGGGGGCCGTGAAACAGAGTTTGCACGCACTCGGGAAACGTTTGACAGCGGTTCCAGCAACAGCCCAGCTACAAGAAAAAAATTACCTGGAACGCCTGTCATAGCTACGAGACCGGTGGTAACTGTCACTTCTTTTGCTACGGCTCCGACTGCGACTCCGGCTGTAGTAACTGTCGTAGGTGTAGGATCTGCTTTTATGAAGGAACCAGAAGCAACTGATTACTCGACTTAAGACTGACTTGTATTGCCTAGTGTTCCTAATCAAAAGAAGAACTGCATGAAAGCAATAAGGCTTTCGGATTCCCAGTCTTATGCACTAACAAATCATCTTGGGGAGGGAACGAGGAATCCTACCAAAATGCAACAGCTGTGAGCTCTCTACCTGGTTGAGGGTATCCGAATTGTATTTACAACTGAAAATATGCCTGAATCCATGTATTATTCCTAGGGATTGGTATATTATTCCTAAGGTATCAAATGGGGAAGGAATATAAAAAGTAGAGCTTCAAACGTGATTCAGAGGCACGTCAGACCTCGCACCAACACAGCCCTTCTCTGCGATCCATGAGAACAGATTGTTCCCACCGCCCCAGGCTTCCATGCCTGCCTGAAAAAATCCCTTGTGACTTCTTCAAAGACTTATTTGAATGTGACTCTTAAAGCAGCCGCAACATTTTTTTTCAGGGTTGCTTGAACTCTTCCAAACTGTTTTTATTCAAAGCAGAGTCCTAACGAAAAGCACCTTTTCTGATTCATTTACATTTCGGGTGCACGCTAAAAAGGATCTCACACGCTACCTACCTCGACCGACTCCGGTGATCATACGAATTGCTTCTGGATCGGCTCCGACTGTAAGTGCGGCTGTTAAAACAGGAAAAATCAGGTCACTGTATTATTTTTTAAAATCTGCATGGACAACTTTCCTCATGTTTAAATTTGGGTATTTAGGTCCAAGAGAGTTCAGATTATTCCCTCGCGTTCACTAAATGTACAGAATGGTTCTGCAGTGAGCCAACCTAAGCTTCAGGTAAAAAGGTCCCGTCTCCTTCCAGCTGAGCTTAGCTTCAGGGACGTCATCATGCAGGTCTGGGGGCAATAGCTTGGGAGGGGTTTGCCCCTGTTGTTTTCCAGAATGTTTTTTCAACTTTCCGCTTGTAGTGGCAATGTGGAAGACCAACTGTTATTTCCAGGAGTTTAGGTGACCTAGTTTGATTTCTCCTGCACATGTTAAGAAAGCTCACTTTGAATGGTAATAATGTTTAGCTGGCTTGTTCTTCACTTTTACTTAGAAGTGTGGAGGGGGGGAGAGCTCAACCCTTGGGATTGTTTAGGTTAAGCACTAGCTTATCTATACCGTTCTCGGGCTCTGGAATATTTTGAAGAGCAGGTACCACATCTGGTCAAGGTCACTTTCAGAGCCCCCGACTCCAAAACAGAGTCATGGGACTGCAGTGCCAGACTTTAATAAAAAAGCCCTGGCACTGCCGCTGGAATTGGGAGCATGGGCACCGGCCTTGGGACTAGGCGCGGTGTTATCTAAGCCATCTTGGGGTCTCTTCGCTGTCGCCTTACGGTAGCTCCCGGGAGTGGAGGAAGAGTTTTATCATCTTGCTTGGTATGTAATCCTTTCATACTGGGCTCTCGTATTCCTGTTTAAATCTGTTTGCTAGAGTTAACAAGCTCTGAAATCTCCTCACCTGCTGGTGAGTTCGTTGTCTCTGGATCTAAAAGTACGAAAAGAACCAACTGCCTGGGCACCCGATCACTGCCCCGGCAATTGGCAAAACACCACTCCAGACCCAACTCTGCTTAGATCACCCAAATTGAGTGGGGTGCTCCCACCTGCTTTAAGCAAGGTAGATTCTTCCTCAGGTCGAGGGCCCCCTGGTGACTGCGTGGAAGGATCCGTGCAGATTATGTTGGCAACCACAACCAAGAGAGTTCACTGCTGCCTTAGTCAGGGGTATCTTCTCAACTTGCCAATATAGATTTCTCCAACGCTTTTCCTTTGAAAGATACAACTTACCTATGACTTCTGCAACTGTTGTAAGAGCTACTTCGACTTCTTGAGCGGCCACGGCTGTACCACCCTCGGCTCCGGCTTCTTGAGTAGCTCCGGGATCTGTGTGTTTAAAGGAAACGCATTGGGGGGAAGAAAAAAACAAACCAACCCACATTCCAAAACCAAGATACCCCCTTATAAAACGCAAACACTTGTACCCACCTGTATGAGTATGTGGAACTCCTAGACTGACTTCGTGAGTGACTGTAAGACAGAGATCTTGTTCTGTGCCTGGATTTAACATCCGACTTGCCCCGCGACCGACTCCGGCTTCTAGACTGGCTGTCCTCTCGTGCCGGGGAATCTTCTTCACTGGAGCTCTCGTGGTTCCTCGGTCTCCGATTCAGACGCGCGGTCTTCCTGACTTCGTCAAACAGAGAGCCTGGCCTAATTTTGTTTTTACTTTTAATTTCTATCCTTAAACCTTGCGGCTTGGATTCGGAGGAGCCGGGGGCCACGTTTTTTGCTTCGGCAGGGCTGCTGGCAGGAGCGGCTATCTGCAGATTCCCAGCCCCCTGTAACGGTTTCCACTTATTGTCAACAAGGCTGCTGTGGGCACTTTCAGCTACTTCGGTTTTCAACACGCCTTCCACGCTAGCGACGGCTGAGGCGGCTTTAGGTTTTTCTCTGTCTCGTTCTCGGCTGCCTTCTTTAACACTGGTCAGTTCTTTAGCATCCACCACCTGCTTTGCACTCTCTGCTTCAGCGCCAATGGGCACACAGGAGGTGGTACTGCCTTTAACGTCCTGGAAATTGACCTTGAGGCTTACTGGAGAAAGTTCCACATCCATTTTTACGGGTGAGTTGTGGTCTGGAGTACAGATCTCCATATCATCCATCTGTGTAACATCCATCTCGGTTTCATTATTCTCCTGAGCAGTCGTGGCGCTTCCTGAAACACCCACATTTTTACCTGGATTTGGAACAGGGGCTGAAAAAACTTGTTCCTCATTGCGTTTATTCAGTTGGCTAGTAGGTGATGCATTATCTGCAACTCTACTGGAGAGGACAGTCTCTTCATGGGACTTCACGTCATCCTTTGCTTGGTCTTTGACCATTTTACCATTTTCAGAATCCGGATCTTTGTTTTTTTCTTTCACCTCTGTTTTGGTTTGCTTCTCTCGGTCATCCCTTATTCCAGGTTTTATAGCAATGACTTCCTCCTCCTCCTCCTCCTCCTCCCCAAATTCCAAGGGAGGCTGCCAGTGAAACGTTTCTTTTTGTTTCTCAGCCTTATGTTTCTTCTCCTTTTTACCCTTGGACTTTTCTTTAGCTTTTTTGGAATGTGCTTTTCGGAAGGTTTTTTTGGAATTACGCTTCTGCTTCCTGGATTTCTCCCTAGAGCCTGCATTGGAATTGGAGCTCTCGGTTTCAGAGGGAGAAGGAGCTTTGTTTCCTTTCAACGTATCTGGGGAGGGTTCTGATTTTGACTTGTATCTGGGCGGGCAGAGGTCTGTATCTGAGTCTGACGTGGCTTCGCCTTCCTCTTTTGCAGAAGACGGTCTTGAATTTTCTTTACCGTTTCTGTTTCCATCTCTTCCAGAATTTGATTCAGAGTCCCACTCAATACTCGCGCGCGTTTTCCTTTTTGGCTTCCGACCGCTTCTTGGAGTCTCAGATTTCTCTTTCAAAACTTTGATTTTCGAATGGTTGCTGTCTTGCCCAGACCTAGGCTTTTCTTTGTGCCTGTCGCAACCTGAACTTCTTTTATTTTGTTTCCGAGTCCCTTTTCCTGACCTTGATTGCCCTTTTTCTTGGACAGCCTGGGATCTAGCCAGTTTTTCACTGTCTGTCGAGGAGTCTAAGGAGGATCTACTTGCACTTGCTCGGTGCTTCGAAGAGCTCACACCTTTCACATACGGAAGAGTACTTTCAGAACTACTTTGTCTTTTCTTGGACAACTCAGAATTTCTCTCTCTGGATTCAGATTTTGTTCGGCTTTTCTGTCGGTCATCCTCGCTTAGGGAAAAGTAAGAAGATGATCCACTGTAGCATGACTGGTCACTGGGGAACTGATTCCCTGAATGGGATCTAACTGTGGATCGGGATCGAGATCTTGAGCTGGAAGGGCTTCTTGACCTTGAGTATGACTTGGAGTAGGATCGACTTCGCGATGTCCTGCTCCTAGACTTCCACCAGCTGCCAGAGCTTCTATTGCTCTGATTTTTGGAGTTACGGCTCCGGTCGCTCTCCGAACTCTTTGGACGTTTATGATAGGAAGAGGAGGAGCCAGGGTCTTTGATATTGATTAAACTGTAGTTAGTCTGAGCGGGTATCAGGTGAGTGGTCTTTGCTTTCATTTCCTGAATTCGCTCGTAAGATGGTTTCCATGGCTTTTGTCCAGGTTTCCATCGAGAAGGTGGAGGACTGTCACTAAGTGGGATAACTGGAATGCTTTCAGCAACCACAGGCTGGATCGCTAATTTATCATTTTGTGGTAATGCAGTTCTTACTGGTTCAACAGGGGCTGGCTTGCGCTCCTTTAAATGAGCCGCCACGTTTTTGGGTGAACTGGAGACCGTTTTCACTTGCTTCGAGGTGGAACTTGATCTTGACCTGCTCCTTGATCGTGAAGATTTATGAGCATTTCTTGACCTAGAACTTCTGGAATAAGATCGAGACCTGGACCTGGACCTAGACCGGGATCGAGACCTATAGTATGACCGAGAATCTCTGCTGGAGAGAGATATCGAGCTCCGCTTATCTCTGTCAGATTTGGACCAGCCTCTTCTAGAAGAATCATCTCTAGATGTCAGGGAAGAAGAACGTGATACTCTTTCATGGTCACACAATGATTTTGTCCTTCTAGTAGAAGAGTGGGAGGATTCTACATCTGTTGAAGGAGACATCTTTTTCTTTTTAATTTGTTTGTGTTTCTTGAAATGTTTTTGCTTTTTGGCCTTCTTCTTGTGCTTCGCTTTTTTCTCTTTCCGATGTTTTTTATGGTGGCCAACATGTCGAGCAGTACTTAGGTCTGAAAAGCCATTGTGGGACCAAGACCGTGACCTCTGGGACAGACTTCTTTCATCCCATCTTCCTGGGTCACTCAGCCTAAGAACAAAGAAATGAAAAGAGCAGGCAACCCCTTTAACTACAGTGCTTAGCTCCTATTACTCTCTTGCAAGGGAATAAAAGTTGCAAGTGCGCTGCAGCAGGGTCCTGAAAGATCAAGGACTGCCTGGCTGAATAACCTGGATAAAGCTCAAAACACAGATCTAATGGAGGCATCTTCCTAAAGAAGAAGAACCAGCAGTCACACTATCTCTTTACCACAGGCTGAAGAATAAGGGACAGGATATCTGGGTGGTAAATGAAGACTGTCCGCATGCTTTCAGTTGGGGTTCTCTGGGCTTAGGGAGATCAATACTGAAGTAATCAATACCGTTTACGCGGACTTACAAATTTAGACCGAATTTGAACCCACAACATACACAAAATGATTTGAGCAATAACACTGCTCAGAAATAAGCCTATGATCTATTTAATAAGGGATTTATTCCTGCAGCAGCTTCTATGGATGATCATTCTGAGGGAAGAGTTTTTGCATGCATCTCTACCCACAATAATCCAGAAACGATCCCACAGGTGTCCCAGAGCACCAGCGTTGTATTTTAGACTACGTTCAGACCTGCACATTTAGTAACTGTGCTTTACAATTCAGTCCTCATATTATTGTCTTACAGAAGCCCAAAGTTGCAACCACATTCATTTTTTTCCCTCTGAACTCTCACAGCTAAGACACATCCTTCTCCACAAACATGACATTATTCTCAGCAAATTCTTACTTATCCCCTTTACTCCATTTTTCTCCACTGGGTGCCCTATAAACTCTTAATCTCTGCATTTCCTCTTTCCAGTGTGGTGGTGTTTCACTACTTCCATCATTATCAGATTCCGTGCATGAGCGAGAGTGAGGCGGCGTATGGTATCTCTGGAAAAAAAATGTAACAGGATAACGTGATACAAAATCTATACATACTTGCACACTTCAGGAGCAATTAACTATAAAGCTGCTTGCAGATATGGTATATGGAAGAAAAGATGCTGCCATGCAGAAGAATTCCTCTGCAGAACAGAAGATCTACCTGAGAGTGGAGACCTTACAATAACTCCTAAGATGGACTTTGCACAAAGCCCTCCAGAAACTAAGTTACAGCAGCGTTTAACTTCCACGGGGGTGGGGCAAGGACACAAAATTCATCTCCACTTTTACTGATACAACCATCACATTGTCTAATCTTTGGTTTCAGTAAGCCACAAGTTAACAGTATAAACGTATTCTTCTATTGCTGCCTGTTTTTCATTCTTACTGTGTCTTTAGGTTTCACAAAACTCTCATTTGTCACCATTTTACAGTTACAATGGCCCTAAGTGAACAAAAGCTGACATAAGTGCTGAATGAAACATGACATCTTTCTGTGTATCTGAATACATATGTACCACGTTTTTATTCGGCCATACTTATCCCATTACTAAGCATTACAAGCAAGAACAACTTTTCAATGCTTGTTGAAATAAAACTCTCAAGTTATAAATTTGAAAGGAAAAAAAGAACACATACTATTGTGCCTCTCCCTCTGATTTTTCTTCCAGATTTTGATACAGAAGGCTTCTGATCAGCCAGAACAGGTGCTGCATCGATGGGTTTCCTTAAGTATTCAGAACAAGAGAGGTATAAGGAAAAATGACCTGGAAAGTTACAAACCAGTTTCTTGTAATCAAAATATGGACTAAACTGAGCAAGTTATATCAACAACCACACATCTAAACGCTTATCTTTGTTATTAGCCCAGTTGGTTTGCTATGCGGTCCCACCTATGGACAGCATAAGCCTCCTTTTAGGACTCTCCTGCAGCCCACCTCATTACTTTCAATTTTAGGCAAAGCAGCATCTTCAGCTCCCTTCCTCCATCTCTGTTCTAAAATGGATCCAACTTGGATCTGGGAGTAAAAGGCTGCCCTAAGAAGGAAGCCCCTTTCTCCAGACACCAGACTGCACAGGGGCTCTCTCGGATGGAATGCCAAGATGCTATCAGAAAATAGCTTTCTCCTTGCAGATGGCTGAGAACAAGGTCGAGTTGGTTAACGTGGGTAGTAGGACTTCCTAAGAACAATGCCATTTTCAGGCACTATTACTCAGTGCAGATGCCCTAAACTCAACGGTTCCACTCACCCTGTCTCATCAGTTTCCTGTTATTTTTCATCAGCTATAACAGATATGAAGAACTATAATTAAAATTAGAACAAAACTGCATGAAGCAATGATATGTTCATTGCTCCTCTGGGTAAAACAAAGCTGTTCAGAAACACAACAGAGATGCTTGCAGGCCCCTGAAAGTGTTTAGAGATGAATTGAGGAGGAATTGCCTGGTACAACAACTGATACAAAATACTTAACAAGAGACTTAATCTTACAGTCCAAGGACTGAGAACAGCCTACAATATTTCTCATTGTTTTATATATTTCAACCACAGTTAAGTTCTTGAGAGTATCAGAGGTTGTGACATTTCACGCGCAGCATCGCGCATTTCAAACAGGCCATTGTTTAGGGAGAACTGGAAACAGAAGATGGTCCTATCTTCATCTTCACTGATTTAGTGGAATCTACTGCAGGACATTACTGAAGACAAGAGGTCTAGCTAGTTACAACTTCCCTCCCATTAACAAAGCTTTTGGCTCCTAAAATATACAATCTTTTCAGCCAGTGGGTATATCTGAAATATAAATAGGTACATTTTATTTTGCCACTTGGGTTGCAGATCAAGACACAAAGAATAATAATAAAAAAAAGAGACGTGTGATGCATACGAATCTGGCTCTGTATTTATAATAGGTGCATCTCTTCTAAGCAAAAATCTGTTTTCGGGCACTGGAGGAATTTCTTCAGGACGGACAACGGGCTTATCCCTCTTCACGTTCAGGTCCGCTGACTTTTCATTTGTTTCGCTCTGGTCGGAGTGGCTAGAAGGAAGGAGAGCAATTTAGGGCAACTGAGGCTACTTTGCACTTTTTTTGAAAAGCCAAGCAAAAAGATCTGCAGAGTAATATGTATCTCGTGGTTAACTTGCTAAACTAAGTCCTCTTAGCCTTCCCAAATTTAGATAACCAATTAACTTCTTGCACTTCTAGAAGTCCATCCAATTCACTTCTCCAAGCTTTCAGATAATTAAACTTGCTCTCTCTGCTATCAAGCTTTGGCTCTTTGCTGTTCAGGGCCATTCCTCAGGGACGATAAAAGCAGAATTTTAAGAACTCTAGTAACGCCGTGGAAGCACACATGTCTACCGTCCTCAGAATGCACTTTTGGAATCCACAGGTCTATGCTGGCTAGGAATTCGAGGAATTTGACACGTTAGATGGATGCTGAGCTGCAGAATGCTGGGCTCTAAAAGACTTATTCCGTAACCCCTGAAACAAAACCTTTAATTTGTTCTGCTGTTATTATTCAATCCTTTCCTAGGCCTGACCTGTGTTTGTTCTTCGCTTCCTCTTTCTTCCTTTCTTCCCTTCTTCGTTTCCCTGGTTGCTTAGCTTTACTCCTCCTCTTGCGTTTCCTTTTCCTGCTTCGCTCATTTTCATATTCACTGTCAGAAGAGGATTCCGACGACGTGGATGTGCTGCTGCTGGAGGTATCTGAAGCTTCCGAATGCGTCCATACTTTTCTTTTCTTCTCCAACGCTTAGGATGATAAAGTTACATATTTTTATTACCTCCAGAAAACACATGGATTGACAATCATCAGGGATACAGTTAAATCATAGTTCATGATGTTGGGATCACAATTATAGACAAGTACATTACTATTTGAAATATGCGCAAAAATGCACAGGAGTGAGTTTATTTCTAATTTACTGATGGAGCTACTGGATTCAGCTATATCACTGGGCAGATATAGCAGCCTATATCATAGCTCTGATCTGCTCTAGATTCAGGGGCTTCAAGTTAAAAAAATTAAGAGGGACTAAGTAATTGCAGAAGTGTGCAGCCATAGCTGCACTAGTTGCTTTTTGACCTGGGGAAAAAATACCTAGAATTATTCACTGAAAATCACCCTATCAGCTACTTGTGTTCATTTCTGGAAGCCAAGCTTCATGAAATAAATCAGCAACTGTCTGTATCTTTATTGAATCAGCACCTGTCAATGACACCCTCAGGGATTCCTCTTAATTTTCCTCTTGCTTTGAAATAAGTCCTGAAGAGACCTTTCCTCCTGGTGATTTCAGAGAACCTACTAGATGCCCAAGCTTCTCTTCTGCCTTTGCACAGCTCCCTTATTTTTAGGTAGAGGTGACATGGTATGGCGCTATAATGAAGATATTCAGAGCGCAATTCACCTCCAACTGTTATTGAATGATGCCCACATAACAGGATCTGCAGAGTCTTCTTCCTTCTGAAGACCTCCGTTGCTCCTTCTCAGTTCTTGCTCCCTCAATCATTGTGAAATCTGTGGAGTCCTTGGTGCTCTCTGAGTTTGTTTGCAGGCGTTTCATTACCTGACTAGGTAACATCATCAGCGTGAGGGAGTGTAGGGTTTGCTCCCTGTTTATATGCAGTAGTTTGTATGCAGTGGCAACCCTGCCAGTGTTGGTGGGGGTGCGGTTTTCTCCTTGGTAGCTCCCTTGAATAGAATATTGTTTCCTGTTTGATTGTCTGTCTGGTGTCAATCCCTGCTTATCTGGGCACTGGCTGCTGGAAAGGTGTTCTGGTCTTTTTGTTTCCTTCTTAGCTTTTTTATTGTCTCTTTTGAATGGTAAGTCAATGTGGTTTATCTCTCTGTGTCTATTGATGGCTGATCAGTATTGATGATGTTACCTAGTTGTGGTCATGAAACGTCTGCAACAAACAACCAAGCTCAGAGGGCAGCAAGGACTCCACAGTTCAACCCTGAACAACAGAGGTTCTCTTCTATTGTGAAATCTGTTATGCCTTCTTTGTACCCAGCCACTCTCTTCTAGCCAGGGCCTGGCAGGCAAGTTACTTTTGTGGTCGAAATGTGAGCAAAATAATTTCGTATGATAGGTACTGAGTATATCTATGTGCGCCTCTATTTACAGGTAAATATTCTGCTATACATTTTCTTGGTTCGATATTCAGCATCCAATAAAACCTTCCCCAAGATCACAACAGAATCTGGCCAGAGTTAAGATGACAACATTACCAAACGTACACATTCTCAAAACTTTTCAAAAAGTGGTTTCCAGAATCCCAATTCAAATTCAATCTCGCAGAGATCCTAGGACTTTTTTTTCTCAGACATGTCTAGCATGAATGGAAAGGCTTACCATCCTTTGCTGATTTTGTAACCAGCACCCCACAATCAATAACGCGCACATCTGCGTATGGCCTACTGGCAGGATCAGTTTTCAGATTTTCTATTTGTTCTATTACTTCAAAACCAGAAATAACCAGTCCAAAGACGACATGGACGCTGCAGAAATAGAAAAGGCATGCTAGATTGTACAGAAGTGGGAATGCACTGGCTCTGTTCACAGTAAATACTTCACTGGGCGTGTTGTGTGTGTCCTACAACCATCTAACTGTCCAAATGACCCACTGAAGTCAAATAGAGGAGACTACATTTAGGCCCAATCCGACCTAGTTTTGTTTTGGATGAAATTAACTCCCTCACTTTGATTTTCCTTACCTCTGGCACTAAGATGAACCTTGCAAAAAGGAGCTTTTTCTGTAGTTTTCAACATCCCATACCCCACAGGCACATTGGGGAGAGACAGAAAGGATAATGGTGGTGAAGACCCCTCCCAATCTGTCCATAGTGGTTCAACCAGTTTTGTTTTTTTTACTCTTTTTTCCTTTAAAGAAAAAAAAATAAACAAGGCAGAAAGCAGGAAGGAATGGGACATCCCTCTGCCTCCCTTGCTGGAGCTGGGATGACTAAAACAATGGCTGCCACCCTGGAGATAACTGATGGTGGGGGTGGGTGGGCTTAAGTCATTTGTGTCCTGCAAAGACAGAAACTGAGGAGCCCAAATAAGATTGGATGAACAATGTTTTTTGCACTCAAGGCTAGAATGTCATACCCTGAAATAGAGCCTTTGGAGTGAGGCGGTTTATGAGCCCCATCAATCTCAAATAAAGAACCCAATAAATATAAATATGTATCTCCCCAAACCATCAACACTATGTGATTATGATGTAAGTGAGCTTTGTTCCTCCACCTTTCTCATTGTTATAACCTTCTGGGATAGCAGAGTTTTTCTCAACCTGCTGGTCTGGAGACCCCCCAGGACAATACTTCCCGGAATTCTGTGATAGGAGCGCAAGAAGCTCAGGTCTGCATCCACGCTGAGTTTCAGTGGTTGAGCTGGGATTAGAATCTGGTTTCACTAAGTTAAGTCCAATACCAATCTCCTAATGTGAAAGAATATGGGGTCTTACCCATCAAGGTGAGGAGCAGGCTTCGTAGTTCTGCTCAACATCAACATGCATGAGATGTTTATTGTTGAAAAAAAATCAAGTTTTCAGATGAAGAAGTAAAAAGGCAGAATGGCAGGTAAAATAAAAAAGTAAGGGAAGAAAAAACATAGCAGTTAATTTAATAAATAAACTTATTTATACTAAATTCAGGAAATGTATCACTTTTTGTCACACACTACAATATAATGCTACACTTGAATTTTATTTCTGATTCAGATTAAATGCCTGTAGTATAAACAAACAGACTGGCTCCATTTCACCATGGCCAGAATTGGACAAACCATCATGGATTCCCTCATATTTCAAGTACTCAGAATTACAATCTGGATCTTGGCAACAACACAGAATAAATTAGATGCATCTAATATGGTTGATACTGCACAAAACCAAATTCTTAAAAGTTAAATCTATTAGACATACAAACACAATAGTTCCAAACCAACTTGTCTCCTATTATTTTTCTAATTCTGCAAATCAACTTGAAACCATTCACAGCTTTGGAAAATTAGTTCTAAAATTTATAATCAGTCAAGCTTTATTCTAATAGAGCTTTTTATGCCTTGTTCCCACTCTATGTTTCAAGAGTATAATTCCACTGGTCATCCTTCTTGGGGGGCGGATGATGCTAAATTGTAATCCCAAACAATGTCAAAGTGTTAAGCTTATGACAAAGTCTGCAATCATATACATGTCTAAGGAATAAATCCCATGATATTTATTTCTTTGAAATAACATGTATAATGGTTGCAGCCTTAGTAATATCTCTGTGTGATTTTGCTCTATGCTAAAATACAGTGAACCTTTGAAACAAAGGATTATAGTCCAATATCTACTGACAATCTGCCCAGAAGAATTAGTGTGCCTTGAAAATATTCTGGCATTTGTTGGGGGAAGAAATTGTTTTCAAAGACAATACCAACTAATTATCAGAAAGCATTTGTTGAAGTTACCATGGAAAATGCACGTGTATTAATTAACTGTAAAGCAATATACTGTCCTGGTGTACTTTTGCAAATGTTTGTTGAAACAGAGTAATTCTTTCTTCCAATGGCCTTCTTTGGGGGGGGAGAGGGGGCAGAAAGGCACTATTATTGAATTTTCATTCATTCAAACAGGGTACCAATCACTTTATAGACCTTTTGAGTCTAAGAACTCAGCAGCTGTTCCCTTGGTCCTCTTTAACAAGAGTGCAATCTAATCGGAATAAGAGTGGAAATTATATGCCAAGTACTGTATAACATGTGCTTGCTCAAAATGCCTCAGAGAATATGTCTACTACTAGAACTGCTGCAGAGTTCTTTTCAGTCTACACCCCTTCTCCACTGACCAGGTATTCTCCAAATTCGTTGAACTATGAGTATTCCCAGCCACAATCACTGACCTTGTGGGCTGGAAATTCTACAAATAGTGTGGGTCAGATCTCACTTTTTGATTGGTCTCTCTAAATCAAGTCGAAATCAGTGCTGGTTTGGATGCCTGTCAACCTCCCCACATTTGGGACAAGATGTTTCAGGACCTGTGGTCTGTAGGGCAACTTACCCGCTACTATTTCTGTCTGCAAAGCTAGAAAAGTTAACAGAACGTTTGCTGATCAAGTCAGCATAGGCAGGGCATTCTGATTAACCAATCTGCTCTCAAGCCTTGAGAGTCAGAAAACAGGCAAGGATCACTGTGCAACTGCCCAGCTCTATAGCTCTAAAACGAAAAAGAACATTCGGCCCATTAGAGCATTGGATTCAGTAAGCACAAATGTGAACTCTTATTATTCCTTTTGCAAAGTAAGGACAGAAAGATCTGTAGGGCACAAAGTTAAGACTGGGAGGCAAGCATGCTCTTTCTCATTACATGCTCTGGAAGATTAAGCAGCATTATTCTCTAGGCATATCTTTACATCTTCACAGAAACAAACACACAGAACAGGGATCATTAACACACGCTTGTGTGTTCCAAACACCAGAGAATATTCATAAATGAGGAACAGAATAAATAATTAAGCATTACCTTGCTGGCAATTGGCTTTTGAATGTGCTACTATGGCTGGACCTAATTGCATAGGCTATGTGCAGCGAATTTCCCATCAAAAAATGTATGGACTAAGTAAAGGGAATAAACACTTCTGTAGGATGATCTCCACAGAGGGAGCTTTGGAATTTGGGTCTCTAAGTTCAAATGTTATTCCCCTCCCATGTATATGAGGGTAATCTTGGTAGGTCACTCAGCCCCAGTTCCCTTCTCTATAAAACAACCCCAATCCAGCAACGTGCAGGGAGGACAAAAACAGATTGTGATGCAATCTGTGTAGTTGAACTATGACTAAAGTTACTGAACTGAAATCCTGAGTAAGATTCCTTTAGAAAAAATGACCAGGAGGTGGCTGAGATCGACAGTCACTGTAAACACCACCAGTTCCAAATGGAAGTAAACTGTCCATCAAAGATTTTGAAATGCCTCCACAAAATATTTTCACTAGTTTTCATAATAAAGAGACTTTGGATCTTTTCATTATTCAAACATGCAAGTCTCTAAAAGCATTTTCAGAAAAAACAGGGATGGAGAAAAACCTTTGAACAGCTGGAGTAACAAGTATTCTTAACTATGCCTTCACCTACTGGCTTCCTCCACAAGGTAAATGTGTTATAAGCTCGAAACTTCATATTTAATATTACTGAAATATTGATTTCAAAATATTGTTTATTATTATTTAAACTGGGGGATATAAAACAACCAATATATTTTTAAATAACTATTTCTCCCATTGATAATAGTTGGCAAGATTGCAGAAAAGGACATAAACTACCGATCTAGCCATTCCTCACTTTTTCAAAGCCATTATCTCCCCATGAAGAGAAAAATGACTGAGAAAACTGTGAAAAGCTTTGACAGAACTTTTTCCCATGAAAGAATTATACTTCTACAAATAGCAAGAAATTTTGAATGGTTTATCATGAAATAGGGCTTAAAAACACAGGATAGCCATAAAGACAAGGAGTCTCTTTTTCTCAAAGTTGGTACTGAACCCCATGAAGAACTGTAACACCACAAGTTTCAATTCACATATGATCAGAAAAAGACAAGAAAGACAGAAAGAAGAAAGTGAAAAGGGGGGAGGGGAGGGAGAAAGAAAGAAAGAAAAAAAGAGAGAGAAAGAACACAGCCTTAGAGGAATGAGACATTACCTTTGGAGCGCACGATGTAACACTGTTTCTGTAAATTTTACACAAAAATGGCAAGAAATAAATTGTAGTACAATTCCAAACAAACTTGAGTCTATGTTTAATACAGCTTTTAACTATTTTTTTTTCAGCTGAATGCAATTCTCAATGTGTATGCAAAACCTTTTAAAAAAAACAGGGCTCTAAATTTTCTTTATGTTCACGTTTGTTTAGCTAGTTCAAGGGTTATACCAGTAGAGATACGACTTGCTTATGCACTGAAAGGTCACTACAAAGAATGGACTCAATTAAAATCTCAATTAAAATCTCTGTCCAGCAAATCGTTGGTGCTTTCTTAGATTCATTCCCGCCACCCAAGTTGCAGCTACACACGTGAAGCTATTTGAGTGGCTCGTGTTACAGAAAGATTACTCAAAGGATTATAAAGGCTGTTAAAAACACAGAGGCCCACACTTTGCAAAGCGGGGCGGATACATATTTTAAAATGCCCTTCCCCAAATCAAAGCAGTATATAAATATCATTAAAAGCAGGAAGCTTTAATTATCGTGGGTTTCGATCACGGTCAGAAATAAGCCATACAAGGTAAGAAAGATTAGTCTTTCAGAGGCTTTGGCTTGGAACAGACCTGAGAATCAGTCATGGAGAGCACATTCATAAAGCTTTTAACCCACGTATCAATGCTAGTGCAAGATCAGAAATCACATGGTTATAGTAATGGGAGCAGGTTACCATTTTTTTCATTAACCAAGGTGATCACTGGGATTAGTAAATGAAAGGGTCTCATTGACAGTAAGACATACAGGCCTAGCTTCATTTGAATTTAGACTCAGGATACTTTAACACAGTGTTTCTCAACCTTGGCAACTTTAAGATGTGCGGACTTCAACCACCCAGAATTCTGGGAGTTGAAGTCCACGTATCTTAAAGCCGCCAAGGTTGAGAAACACTGCTTTAACAGATTGATTCATGTTTCACTTATACCTATCACGAGACTCTGAGTGTTTCACTTATTAAGAAACAATTTATGACATAAATTGGTTAAAGTTGTGAAGAAAAACTATGAAAAGAGCCACAATGGAAAGGTCTTAGATTTTTTTTTTTACAGTAATTTTTTCAAGAAATGAATAATCACATGTACAGATCCCTTCATCGCAAGCACATGCATAACCTCTGAATTCCACTGCTTTCCACTGATCTTAGAACTTCTCCCCACAGGGCAACATAAAATGGAAAAGTAACAAAGCTGAAGAACAGCCCCTTCCCCTCCCAAGGTCTCAAATAACCTAGGTAGAACAACCAGAAACCTCATCTCTCCCCCCACCCCCATTTCATAAAATCACATCAGAGAAAGATGCAAAACCATTCCAAATATTTACAACTGGAAAAAAAAAAAAAGGTTAACCACATATTCAATGGTGTATTTCAACCAACCCGTTTGCAGTACAATGTTAATATTTGGGTATGCTAGGAGTGGGGACAGAGAGGAGATATTTAAGCAGCATAAAAATCACCATCTTCTAGTGATAAGACTTTCAGGCCATATCATCTACTGTGAGTGCTACTTTCTTGGCCCCAGAAAAGCTGTTCTGTGCGCTGCATGGCTATGTGTGCACCTGAACAGATGCTCTACTCCTCCTTCAACGCTATAGCTTATTTCAAACTGTGTTACGATGCAACCTCGTGAAGTGTTTTATGGACTGGTAGCCAGAATCCTAACAATTCAATGCATAAGCAGAAATACTGATTTTTCCTCCAATACAGGCCCCTCACTTAAACCCCCCACTATGAAAGGTCCCTGTGCACCTCGAAACGTGGTTAAGCAAGGTGAACACCCTGTCGACCCTCTGAATTTCAGCCACTAATAAACCATTGGTTTCTGGTCTTTCAGGATAAACCCAAACCAATATCTTGCAGGGACTCTTAGTCAGCAAGGACGTGTTTCTGTAGCTAGAGCTAACAATATGTACTTCAGAGTTCTGAAATAACCTAAATAGCATCTACTTCCTATTCCATGACAGAATAACTAGGGGAAGTGTATGAGTTAAGGATCGCTAAAATGTATTTTCTTGACAGAATACTCTAGATGTATTCTATCTTTAACACAGATAATCTTCTGATGTTTAAAATGTTATGAACACTGAGATTATATGTTAAAGACACGACATAATATAAAATTTAAAATCTCCAAACCTTAGTCAAAATTTGTTTTCACCTAGGAATATGAGTGTTTCTCTTAGATATGGTTTCTGACTATTTATCATTTTAGCTACTTGGGAGTTAACACTATAGACGCGAACCAGAGGTGTGAATGCAGAAAGCACTTAAAACTCTTTCTAAATGCTTCTTAGCAGCAATTGTGGCAAGCAGATTAGTTATTTGAGACCCAACCATAAAAGGGTTCTAAACCAAAGCCTTGGAACTTACTGGAGGTAGCTCTTTAAATGGGAATACTTTAAAACCTCCAGCAGGCTGCACTCTTTTGAATTTTAATCAAGAGGGGTAGAAACTTTAGCCACAATCTTGTACACCCAGAGCGCAAGGCAGCTGTTGCAGCTCCAGCCGAACAAACAATGTGCTGACTCTCGTGTTTGGGTATACATTTTTCCAGCTGCAGTGTGGTGGATGGAGAACACTCTACCTGCCTCATTTCCATTCAGGCCCCCAAAGACTGCTACATGCTCCAGGGCACTTCCCAGAGCTTTGGCCCCTGTAACGATATGTGGGAATGACCTTGAGAGACAGGGGGAAGAGCCGCAGACTGGACAATGGCAGATAAGAGGCAGCTGAGCCTGCAGAAGGAATGGGAGCCTGGGAAACATCTCAGAAGGGACCTTCCCTAGTTTCTTGGGCTGTAAAGGCGAGGGGGGAGAGATGGACTTTCAGACTTGCAAGATTCTGTTAATGGAACCTTCCAATAAAGACAGAGCTAGTACTCCTGAGTGTGCTTCTTGTCTAAACTACTTCGCAAATCTGACAGTACCCCACCAAAGAAATTGGAGTGGGTCATAGAAGCTGTATCTTTCTTTTATGCAGAAAACCTGTTTGTAAACTTATTATACATATAATATTCCACTCATTTGAGTTTGAATGCAACTTAAAAGTGTGCCTAAGTTGTACCATGGCAGAACCTGATCATCTTATATCAGCTGCATTTTCACTTATTTAGACTTTTCATTCCACCAAATAGTTGTAATTACAAAAATGTATTTGGGTGCATATCTACGTCCACTGACCTCAGGTACTATAGAATGAATGTAAACTTATCTTAAACAGGATTTTACAGAATTTAAAGTTAAACAATAGTCTAAGTTGCTGTCATTAGCTTTTATTGCTAAAAGTGGGTCTGTAAGATACAAGTTACTAATAATCAGCTCTATTAATCAAGTGCTGCTGTAAATACTGCCATGTAAGATTAAAGAAACTTTAGAGCCCGTCAGTAGCTTCATGATCAATGTACTAGCAGTTGTAATTTTGCTAGTTCAGATAAGCTTAAAAAATGGAAAAAGTGTGGAGGAGTAAACAAATTACTTTTATTTGCTACTATACATATAATTTATGCCAATCTCATAAAGGAAGCCATTTTTCTGCCAAACTAGACCACAGAAATCTCTATAAACCTGTATTACTTTCCCAATGAAGTAAAAGTTATTTCCAATTTACGATTATATTTATTTTCCATTTTTGGGACATTCTTTAGGAAGCCACCTAAATATGCCTCTTATCTGAACATTATTCAATCATGGCAGAGACCTCTTTTCAATTTAGTCTTCCAGACAAGTGATTCCTTTAATAAGGTAGCGAAGCACCATTCATTCTTAACAAGAAAGATGGCAAAGTTTAGGGAAAAAAATGAATATAGCAACCAGGACAGTAAATCTATTAAACATGCTTGAAGTCAGTAAGCACAAAGGTTCATCAAATAACAAAAATCCAAACTCTCTTCTCTCAAACACAAGATGAAATGAATAAAGCTTGTGTTTTTGTAAATGCTAATACTGGAATATATGTGAAGGACAGAAAACAAGAGAATGTTGAAACACACATTCTAATAAAATCCAGCAAAATCACTTGGAGCACAGCAAGTAAATTACAGTTTAACAGATACCTATTCCTAACAGAATTAAGAACAAAATTCCTCAGGTATGTAACTCTGCCGTTTCAGACATTCAAGGAGATTGCAAATGTGAGCAGAAACCACTGTTATAACATGGAATCTTCACAACAAACTTTAAAATTACATTGTATCTGACCATCTGTAAATTTATGCTGGTCAAAATCAACAGCATTTTATCATAAATGCCTATATTTTGTATCTGACTGCAGAAGTTTTCCTCCATGGAACCTGTGCATGTGTAAAAGATGGCTGTGTCCCATCCCAACATCTGCACCCTTTCACTTATTAAAAGAATATGTGTCTACCTCGCTTCATGAACCATCTCTACTCTCCTTCGTGCATGGCAATTGATGGGAGATCAAAGCTACGCTGAATCCACTGAACTCATGAAAGAAAACACCTGGAATTGGCTTTTTAGAAACAAGAGCCAACCTGGGATATGAGGTATGCCTTGTGACATTTTTGTAAGAGAACATGAATAATGTATTTAAGAAAATGCCTTTATATTCTGTCAGAGGCCATGCAAAACTAATGATTTTAAAATAAGCATTGTAGCTAGAAAACCAAAGAATTTAATTTGTGAAAAGCAGAAATGTGCCCTTTACTTTCTTCCCCCTACTTTAATAAATATTTTGGCAATACCATCTTTCTCATGAACAGCGCTTCTCCTTTTATGAAAAATACAACTCTCAAATTAGGTTTACTTACATGAAAAACTGGGAACCATTGGTATGCTTCCCTCTGTTTGCCATTGACAAAAGAAATGCTCTGTCATGTTTCAAAATAAAGTTTTCATCTGTTTCAAAAAATGAGACAAAGGGGAGACAAATCAGCCTTCTCAAACTTAAAAACTTTAAAATATTAATAATGAAGAATTATCCCGCTGTTCACTAGAGAAACTTGAAACTCAAAAGCAATTTACACCATTAGAAAGACAGTTTGTACACAAGCAACTGTTTAACAACCTTTAATCAAGAATATTTGAAAGTCTGGATATTTCGAGCCATTTTATCATTTCTTAACTAGCAGCGAAAGATTCATTATGAAGATGCTTTTGTGGAGTTTCTGGCTGTTCTTTCAGCATTTCAGAGAACTTCTCTAGCTCTGCTATTTAAAAACATTTTATGTAGCTGGAGAATGAGCAGATGACATGCAGTTTCATGGAACTACTCTGTTCCCTCTGTTCAACACCAACTAACCACGGTGAAGAGAGGAGAACAACAAGGCAGCATTTCAAAGAATATTCTCCACAAAATAAGAACACTAATGAGTGATGAAGGCTCATATTTCCTTTGTGAAAAAAGACAACATGCCTTGAGTTTTAAAAATCTAGACACTCCTGTAGTATTAACCAACTGACAACAGTGCAAGAACAATGCCAGAGCATTTCCCCCAATAATCCACAGACCACAAATCACCAGCATGCGATAAAGTTGGGTTGAACAGAATCCCCCTCACTAAAAAGCCTGTTTCTTTGCCATGGACAGAGAAACCACTTTGACTCATTCACAAAACTAATTAAAGTATTATTAGTTCTTTAAGCTTAAGGCACTAGTTCTCAACTACAAACAATAGCCATTAACAAAGAGAATGTCACACAGCCTCCTTTCAGTTTTGGAGTGAAGAGACTCATTTTATAACATGCTGGTTTGATGGTGATTATGGAGTATTTTGTGGTAGTTTAGCTGAATTTTATTTGAAGCTGTAACAGTACAGTACCAGGATAGCTGTACTTACCTGATATAAAATCTCAGAGAAAAAGAACCAAAAACCTTTACAATATAGATTGGCAAACAGAAGATGATTTGCTGTTGCATCGTATTATTAAGTACTTTTGGAATATAACTTTTGTATGAAGCAGCTCACCAAGAAAATGTTACTATTTTCTACCTAACTACATTCAGGACATGGTTGGAACCAGTACTACAAGAAAAACTGGTTGGTCCCTGATCTACAATCCAACACTTTTAAAACATGCCCCAAACCTTTGAGAATACCCATACAAACCTTGAAAGGGCAGGGAAAGGGAAGGAACACCTAAATGGAAAGACAGCACAGGACATCCCAAGGACGCCTTTGTCCAGACAGAAGGCCACTCTGGGCCTCTCAAACTATTTTGGGGCTTCTCTCCAAGTCACACGTACCCAGCCACAAATTCATTATCAGTTGACCAGAGATTTACTAGGAAGGGTGCAGGGGAACAGTTTGAATTTGTGTTGAGCTTTTGTCTCTTACCTTTTCATTTTGCAAAAGACCACATTCTCTATAAACAAAAGAATATGTTGACAGTTTTAGGCAGGAAGACAGGAGTTGTCATGAATCAAGTTGCCTAGCCTCCATGCTGAAGTCAAGTTTTAACCACTACATTAGCCGCAATAAATGTTGACCATTAACGCTAATATTTACAATTTAAGAATTTAAACTCATGCACACATAGAATATCCATGCAATATTACTTTCATGCAAGATGATCTAAATAAACCTTGTTATTAAAAGCTGAAATTGAAATTCTCAAAGCTGAAGCACGGAAATTTAAAATAACTACTGGATCTTACCTTTAAAGTATCCTCCGTAAATAGATTCACCTCCTTTTCCATTACCTAGCGTTAAGAAGGTATAATGTTAAATCTTGGCAAATACCACTAAATAATCTAACTAGTCATGTGGCATGTTTACTAGTGAGGAACTGGCTGTGGGCTTTGTGAGATTCCTAATTCTAAATTACAGGTAGGTCACGATTAGTGCGAGTTTGAATAGCGCAAAATGCAATTGAGCATGATTTATAAATTGATACCAGGTCGCATTTAACGTGAGCCAAAATTCAGTTAGTGCGAAGTTAACGTGCATGTGGTCGAGGCCAGTTCATGTGCAGTTGCCACTGGGGTTTTAGATGCTAGTCATTGTGTATGCAAAATGGAGAAAAGGAAGGTTCTGTTCGAGGAAAGCTCAAAAAGAAAAATGGCTCATTTTGAAGAACTGCAGCAGAATATAGGAGATAGCAGGTATGCTTTGGATATGGGTTTATCCTCTTTTATTGTTATACAGTATTTCATTAATAAACTTATAGAAATTTATAATTAAAAAATTCAATTTCCTTTTTCCTTTGAGCTGAAACAATTATTTTCCACAGAAATATCACTCTGAATGGTGCGAATTCGAATAATGTGACCATTTCATGGCATCCATTAACTGCACTAATAGAGACCTACTTGTATTTATCTATGAAAAGTACTTCCCCAACTGCGTCTAGCATAAATAATATTTACTGAAATTTTATTTTTATTGTTAACCTTGAGACAGGCCTAATTGGATCATCCATACAAACAACATCATCAGCACGTGTGCAAAGAACACACTAAAACAACAGCTCTCCTCATTTTGTTCCCTCTAAGGGATTACAGAAAGAGGGAGACAGAAACCAGTGCCTGTGAAGATTTGTCTTCAACAGAAAAATTAACTGTGATTTTGGAACACAGAGGGAAAGAAATGCTTACGTTTTTCTTCTCAAAATCTTTTTTTTTCTTCACAGCTTATAGCTGCTTCCTATGAGGATTTGATCTCAAATAAGCTCTCAACATTATGTTCTTTTTACATTTTAAGTAAGACTTGCACAAAGTATATACACATTTTGTAGCAGGGGTGAAGACTGTAACAGTAATTAAGCTATTAGGACCAATTATTTACACATTCCAGTTATGATCACTTCTACTAACATAATCCCCATGTATTTCCATCTGGGAGAATCTTCCAGCCAGAGCAGCATATGTAACAACTATATACGGATAGTCCTCAACTTACAACCATTGATTTAATGACCATTCAAAGTGATGGCAGTGCTGAAAAAAGTGACTTATGACCAGTCCTCATCCTTATGACCGTGACAGTCATGTGATCAAAATTCAGAGACTTGGCAACTGGCATGTATTTACAATGGCTGCAGTCCGGGGTCACGTTATCGCCATATGCAACCTTCCCAGGGGGCTTCTGACAAGCAAAGTCAATGGGGGAAGCGGGATTCGCTTAATGACCTAATGATGCAGTCATTCATTTAATGATTGCAAAAAAAGGTCATAAAATCGGGTGTGACTCACTTAACGATCACATCACTTAATGACAGAAGTTCCCGTCCCAATTGTGGTTGTAAGTCAAGGACTACCTGTATGTGCAAGTCACTCAATGTACATGCAACAATTTATGAGCGCACAGAAATTGCTACATGTGATAATATATATTCAGGCTAAATTTTAGAGATTCAGAAGAGGACAGGATTTTATCTTATATAAAGACCCAATTAGAACTTGTAAAAAGATGTTTTACTTAAAGGCCAATGGTTTAATTTCCAATATACATTAATCTAGTCTTACAATTACCATTTGTATAATGTAATATGATAGCTAACAATATATCAAAGCTATTTATTTTTCCTAAAAAGAGGATGAGATGTTCAAAGAATCATTTATTGAAGATGCTAAATATGTTCAAACATCTAATAATTTTTTGCAGGCAATTGATACATTTGTGAAACCTTTTAATTACAATGGAAACTCCTCCACAATATATCAAAGCTATTTATTTTTCCTAAAAAGAGGATCAGATGTTCACAGAATCATTGATTGAAGATGCTAAATATGTTCAAACATCTAATAATTTTTTGCAGGCAATTGATACATTTGTGAAACCTTTTAATTACAATGGAAACTCCTCCTCTAATTTGGGGTGATGGATTAAGGTTAGGTTGTTTCAC